GCAGCTTTACAAGCCTGTTAAGTTTCCAAAGATTCCGTTTTTCAGAATTTGCTTTGTAACAATTTTTAATTTATCTTCTTCTATCCTTCTCTATGGGTGTTATAACAGGAGAAAGTGAAAATAAACCAAGTGTCCAATAATAAAGGGATCAGTTTGGACAACCTAAACGTTTACTAATTGAGGAATAGTTGAAACAAACCCAACTAATAGTTGAAACAATGCCAGCATTGGGCTGGCCCCTGCCTCCCTTGCCTGCTCAGGAAGGCAGGCAATGCTAATGCTGAGGAACCCCTGCCTGGATCTGGGTGAGTCCCACCAGTGGAAGGTACTGGTGGAAGCTGAGAAGGGGAGGATGAGGGGAGTCAGGGTTCGGTTCCCTTTGTCTCTCTGCTCTGGGCGGCATCCTGTTCATCCTGGCAGTGGCCAGCTCTCCTCCATAGCAGGAGATGTGCAAGAGCCCCACCCGCTACGGTGCCAGCCAGAAGCATGTTGCATCAGCATGCTCCGGCCACTGCCCCAGTATCTGGTTCTGTGCCTCCCCGTAGGATGGTAATGTCCTCCTGCCTTGACCATCTCTGTGTTTACCTCAGCATCTCATTTGGTTTCCCAGATCTTCCAATACCCACATAACCCACTGACTATAACGTCCTTCTGTTTGAAAGGTAGAGTTCTCATTCTTGACGGGACCTTCCCGACTACAAATAATATCCTGACCAAAGGCTTCCTAGCTAGTTATTAAGAAATATACAACAAGAGTGTTGGACTCTGTACAGATGGGTATTGTCTAACATACGTGTTGCTAATTGCTGCATGCCTGATGTAGGACCAGTCATGGTGGTGGGTGTCAGTGATGGTTGGGGAAGCGACTTTAGCCCCTCCATCGTCTCCATCAATTTCTCTTGCCTTTCCCACCCCAGATCAGTCTGTTTACTGTGCAAAACAACTTCTAGACAAGTCTCCTGTCTTCCCTTCTAAGTTCAGAAACCCTTCTAGTATATAGATATTCTAAAACTGCCACTGGAGAAAGTATAGGGAACATATGGACCTTCACACTATTTTCAGTAATCTCATGAAAATACTCAACATCATTAACACATATGGGTGACTGTGGTTAATAAATAAGTTTAGGTGTCTCTTATGTCTGCTGGAATATGAAGGGCATTCTCTATTATTCATGTGGGTGCTATTAATCTATTCCCCATTCTCAATGTAGTGGCAGGAAGTTTATTTTTAATACATCCCAAATCCTTCAGGGAGTCTCTAATTCAACAGTTGAAGACAATATCTAAAACTCTTATACAGTTGGGAATCCAGATATCACCATTCGCTTATCAGTTGCTTTTGAAATATGTTTTGAGGAAGTCTTGCAAATGACCACAGACAGCTCTGAAGTGAAAGAGACGTTACAGAGACCTCAGCTAATCACATATACGCGCATGCATGCTCAGTTGCTCAGTTGTGCCTGATTCTTTGCAACCTCATGGACTGTAGCCCACCAGGTTCCTCTGTCCGAGGAATTTCCCAGGCAAGAGTGCTGGAGCGGGAGGTCATTTCCTACCCCAGAGGATCTTCCTAACCCAGGGATCACATACACAATCTCCCTTAACACGACAGACTATCATCAATGATATGGGACTGGATGTTTACCCTGAATTCTGCTACTTGGGTAGAATCTTGCTCACTGATGAACTAATAGACCATATCACTGGAAACCAAACCAAACCACATGTGTTCAGGGATAATGATCACAGCACAAAGACTCGGGCTCAACTGAAGATGGGGGCAGGCCATCACCTTTTGGGTGGCTTTTAGTTTCTAAGAGTATGAACAAGTACACTTTGGAGACTCTTCAGATAATACAATTTGAGATGATTTTTAAAATTTGAAGTGAAGATGATGTGTTTTCACTTAACATGTGCAGTTCTATGTCTTTTTCATGGGTGATTCGGTGTACCCCCTCCCATCACACTCTTGACCACCCATAATCACGGTATCATCTGACATGACTCATCTCAACTCAGCTTGTTGGGCTGGTCCTCTTGACTTTGATTCAAGTTATATAGGAAGCTCAGCATCACCAATCTTTAGTAGGGTATCTTCTTAAACACATCAGAGATACCCTTGGATTAGTTTGTAATTGATTTCATGTTTATAGCCACCTCAACAGAAGGACTGGTCAAGGAACATGCATAAAATCATATCTGGTTCTAGAAGAAGTGGACGAAGAATTTTAAGACCCAGTAAATAGAAGACAGTCTGTCTATCATAATTAAGGGAGTGGGCTCTGGAGTCAAAATCTGGATTGGCCTGTCCTAAGCTGGATGACCTTGAGTAGCTTAACCTCTCAGCTTTGCCAGCCACTAGATAGGGAAACAGTGACACCAAATTGTGAAGGTTCCTCTGAAAACCACACGGCTTACATATGTGATGGACCTGGCAGAGTGTGACTAGCAAGTAGTAAGTTCTTAACAGATGTGGGCTGCTCTCACCTTCATGGCCATCGTCTATGAGAAAATTTTTTAACCCTGGCCGAGTGACCTTTAGACACTGTGAACAGAAATGGGTGATGTTCTGACCCAATCCTCCCTGGACCCCCACGAGCATCAGGCGTGTCTCCAACACAGGGTATGTCACGAACATTGGTAAGTAGCCTTATCTGGAAGGTGGGGGAAGTCTGGAAGATACCTGAAGCCTTTAGAAAAAATGAAGTTCTGGAAATGAGGAAGTTGCAGAGACGGCGATGTGGACAGAAGTTTATATGCTACAGTCTTGTAAAGCTACTAATAATGATGACTTCAAAAGCAAGCACAGCTCAAGGCTGGATGTTTGCAATGGACTAGTTATAGGTAATTTCCAGTATTCTAGATGCCCAAACTTCAGTGACTCTTAAAGAACATCCCACTACACAACTGATGTATATATAATATACAGGCTTCCCACTCAGGGTGGGAAGTATGGACTGGTCAGAGGACAAGAAAAAGCAGACTCTCCCATGTTTGCAGATGACACTGCATGTGCAGAATTTGGACACTGATGTTCATTTTCTTGTTCAGTTGCTCTTTATGACCCCAGGGACTGCAGCACACCAGGCTTCCCTGTCCTTCACTGTCTCCTAGAGTTTGCTCAAACTCATGTCCATTATTTCTTTGAAGTATAGTAAAAACAATTTTACTTGAAAGAATAAGCATGGTCCTGAGGCTTCGAATATCCTTGAAAATCTTAGGATAAAACACTCTGCTAGTAACTAGGACACCAGAGGCAGAGATCTCTGCTGTATGTTAAAGGGTTCACCACTTATTCATGCATCAAATATTTCCTGAGCACCTATTTTGTGCAAGTACCAAATTCAGTTCCAGGGAGCTGAAAAGAATTCAGAGTCTAGCAATGAAGACAGATGCATAAACACATGACTAAGGGAGTGCAGAAAGTATGCATTTTAAAGATGGGGACTTTCCTGGTGGTCCAGTGGTTACGTATCTGCCTGGCAATGCAGGGGATGCAGGTTTGCTCCTTGGTGGGGAACTAAGATCGCACATGCTACAGAGTGACTAAGCCTGCTTGCTGCAACTAGAGAGCCCATGTGCTCCAACTACGGAAGCCCGTGCGCTCTGGAGCCGGTATGCTGAAACTACTGATACTGTGCACCGCAACGAGAGGTCCTGCACGACACAATGAAGATTCTGAGTGCCGCAACTAAGACCCGATGCAGCCAGCTAAGAAAAGAAATAATTAATATTAAAATGAAATAAAGTATGTCATGCACTGTGTTCTATAAGGCAGCAAGTGCCCAAGTAATCCTGGGAAAAGACTGGAGAAGACTTGTAGCTGAAAGTGAGCAGATAAAGGGGTTGGTGGGGGTCCAGACTACATTCCGGGGGAAGGCGACCTCTGACACTCTCTCTGAGGCCCACTCTTCTCTCTCCATGTGCACTGCCCCTGCCCTGTCCTAAGACATTATCACTTCTTTTCACCTGAGTGATTGCAAATCCTTTTGTCACCGCATCCCCCTGTGTCTTCTAAGACATTTGCCATACGGAAGTCATGGGATCTTTCTAGGCCACAAACCTGAATCTATCAGCCCCCCTGCCTAAAACTCTTCATCCTAAAGGAAATCAGTCCTGAATATTCATTGGAAGGAGTGATGCTGAAGCTGAAACTCCAATACTTTGGCCACCTGATGCAAAGAACGGACTCACTATAAAAGACCCTGATGCTGGGAAAGACTGAAGGCGGGAGGAGCAGGGGACGACAGAGGATGAGATGGTTGGATGGCATCACTGACTCAATGGACATGAGTTTCCATCACGGGAGTTGGTGACGGACAGGGAGGCCTGGCGTGCTGCAGTTCATGGGCTTGCAAAGAGTTGGACACGACTGAGCGACTGAACTGAACTGAAAACTTTTCAAAGGTGTCCAAGAGCCTCAGGATTTAATAACAGAAAAACGAAGATGACAATAAAAATAGCAAACTTACACAGAGCGTCCCATGTCCTGGGTGTTCCATGTGCTTTCTCTGCCCAACTGCTCCTCATTATTTGTGGACTCCATAGCTGTGAACTATCTACTGTGTAAAATTAATTGTAAGTCCCACATTAATACTTGCTGTGCTTCGGGGGTCATTTCTGGGCACACACAGGGTGGTGAAATATTGGAGTGGAGCCAACTGAGCTCGAACAAGGTAATACTCAGCTTTCTTGTTTCAGCCTCACGTTGTATATTGTTCAGTGTGAAGACTTAGATGGGTCATGCTGTGTGTTACTTGTTTTAGAACAAACAAAGTTTGTTCTTTGTTCCCAAACAACAAAAGGAAAAAGAAAATAACAGCGTTTTACTCAAACCTGAATGAATCTGAAAGAAATAGACTTTGGGGATTGCCCTGTCAACTGGCTTTAATGTTTCAGGTAATAAAAACTGCAGAGGGAGACCAAATAATAGGAAATTTAATGGAAAGTGGAAAGAATAGACTTTCTTCCCAAAACATAAAAAAACAAAGAGCTTACCTGTTGTGGAGATTGTCCATTAGGTTTCTCTAGACATTTAACTTCTCTTCCTGCAACTAAAAAAAAAAAAAAAACCAGTTGAAAACAGGCCTGCCAGTTGCCTCCTTTTCACAGCCAAGATGCATCTTGAAAGTGACAGCAGAAAGCATTTCCCGAGAGAGACGTAGGAAGTGATGTGGGGGAAAGGATTCCTGGCCTGGATGACTCCAGGCAGACAAGGGCTTTGAAATTTACCAGGCCTGAGTTTGCAGCCCAGCTCCCAAAGCTGAATTAACAATCAATTAACGCCCAATTAATCATTTACCCAAATATCAGTGTTTCATCTATAAAATATGTTGTAGTGAGATTTAAACTGCACAACAGGAAAGCTGTTGAGAAAAACTTACGTAACTGAAGGAATGAGATTTTAGATAAAAGCACTCACCAAGTGACCAGAGTGATAAATAAAACTAAACCCAACGCCAAGACACATCACTGTGATATTTCAGAAGTGAGGTAAAAGCAAAGGTCCTATAGGCTTCTACAAAGAGAAACCTGACCATATACAAAAAGCTGGGGCTCAGAATGGCTTAGACTTCTTAAATGCACACACAGGGCTGTGCTACGCTCAGTCGCTTATCGTGTACGACTCTTTATGACCCCACGGATTAAAGGAGGCCGGGCTTCCTTGTCCTTCACTATCTCCCAGAGTTTTCTCAAACCCATGTCCATTGAGTCGGTGATGCCATCCAACCATCTCATCCTGTTGCCCCCTTCTACCCCTGCCTTCAATCTTTCCCAGCATCAGACTCTTTTCCGATGACTCGGCTCTTCACATCAGGTGGCCAAAGTATTGGAGCTTCAGCATCAGTCCTTTCAATGAATATTTAAGGTTGATTTCCTTTAGGATGGACTGGTTTGATCTCCTACACATTATTCTACATTTGCCCAAACTACCAACGAAATGAGACGGTATAATAAAGACATTTTCAGATAAGAAAAGTCTCAAAAATTTTACCATCCCTTCCTGGAAAGGAGTCTATTAGAGGATGTAATAAACAAATGAGGAAGTAAACCAAGAGGGGAGTACAAGGAATATAAGAAATAGGACATCAAACACAGGAGAGAGACAAAAGGAATCCCTAGGATGATCGCCATGGAGATTCCAGAATCCCAGCACTGTGCACAACCCGGAGGAAGCTCATTCCCATTGCAGAACGTAAGAAGGCTCTGGGCAGTCTTCTTTTAAGAGAAGAAATTGGCAGAATCACTGAAGTAACCTACAGAGAAAAATACACATGCTAGGGAAAGAATTTGGCGTCAGATTAGTGGTAAGGATGCAGAATACTCAACAAATGGGGAAAAAAAAACAGTCATGTGTTACCTTCACAAAAAACCTGTGCAGCAAAGGAAATGTAGTTATAACTCTCTACTGGGTTTAGCTGTGAACAGCACTTATGTAGTTATAAAAAATACTTGTTATTTATCTAGCTAAAACTGGAGGTGGGGTTCGATAGGGAGGTGGAACATTCCTTATGTGTGGTGGGGCAGCGGGTGGATGTTGAACCATCTTCTTCCATAGTGGAAGATAATGTCTAAAACTGAAAAAAAAAATCAAGAAATGGTAATAGAAACTCTCATTTAGAGAAACTGAGGCAAATAACCAAAATAATCAGCTAAAGAAGTGATTCCCTTTGAGGAAAGAAAGATGTGCTCATAAGTGGGCAGTCTGGGCTTCATCTGGAAATTTGGGAACCAATCTAGTCCTAAGAGCAAAGTAAGGAGAAAGTGTAAACTAGATGATAGCAAGCAATGATGCTTTCAAATAAAGCTGATTCCCATTCATTTATCTAGCCTACATTAATTATTTAACACCTAGTACTGTGGAGAGAAGAGGGTGGTAGAAGATGAGATGGTTGGATTGCATCACTGATTCAATGGACATGACTTTGAGCAAACTCCGGGAGACAGTGAAGGACTGGGAAGCCTGCGATGGGGTCACAAAGAGCTGGGACATGACTTGGAGACAACCATGGGCCAGGTCATGTGCTAATAACAGATGATCTAGCAAAATTAATTGCTTATAGCCTAGTGAGGTGGGCAAAACAAAAACAAGTAATTATGATCCAGTCCTATAATAAAGTTTATTGGGAAAGCATCATGAAAACATGGGGACCAACAATCAACCTGCCAGAATGTTCTAGAGCCACACAGTCCAACCTGGTAACTACTAGCCATATGTGGCTATTTAAATTACTAAAAATTAAATACATGAAAAGTTCAGTTCCTGGGTTACACCAGCCAGCCACATTTCAACAGCTTGAAAGCCACATGTGGCTAGTGGCTGTCATATCAGATAGTGTGGACATAGAACATTTTTCTCACTGCAGAAAGTTCTACTTGATGGTGCTGGTCTACAGGTTCCTAAATGGTGATTTTTACAGTATTTTCAAGTACATGGAACCCCTGAAGGGACCACATTCCATGGGTCTGTTAGTAAGTAGAGTCTTGGTGAGTTTGATATTTAACTAGTTATCTGTACATGGAGTGGAACTTTTACTCTTTCTCAATTTGAGCCACTGCTGGAACTAGAAAGGAGTCTTTATTACACGTCCTGATACTGTTTGGCCACAGATGTTGGGGGCAAATACTGATGGTGACTAATAGTTTCTGAGTCTCTGGGAAAGCACTTTTGTGTAGCAAAAAGAGGGGAGAGTTCTGGGGAACTCGGAAACTCCTGAGTTGGAACTTTTGCCCCACGAATTAGCTGTGTGGCCTTGAGCAAACCTCTCAATCTCTCTGGGCCTTTGTTTATTCAGACGTGAGGTATACAGATAATGCAAGAATCAGGATAAGCAGGTGCAGAAGCACAGAAATGGCAGCTGCCATTCTTCTCACTGTTTGGAATCTACATGGGATGAGGGACTCTCAGTAGAGAAGAGGGTCTCCTCGTCTCTCATTTCTTCTCATCACCACTCTGATTTCTGGCTTTTTCAAAAAGCTCTCTCTTTGACCAGGAACTTTAGTAACTATATCAGAAAGAGGAATTTAAGTTCAAGAAGGCAAAGGGAAGAAAGAAGGGGGAAGGGCACTGACATTCACCCAAAGCCCAGGACATGCCAGCCTGGCCTGCCCATTGTTCTGGAAACCCTCCCAGGGTCCCGAAGCTCAAGCGGATGAGACGGTGGCTGGAGGGGAAGAGGCTGGCAGGTGGTGACACATCAACTCCCAAGAGTCAGGGAGGGGGCGCTGTGGACGCCACGCTCAGGATGGGATTCCCACGTCGTCATAATAACCAGTGGCCACACGTGGCACTCACAGTGGCCCGAGAGTAGATGGCCGAGGACCACAGAACCAGCGTGTAACCTACCCACAGACTGGCTTTTACTCAGCATTTATGCCATACAGCCCACCCCGGGGTACTTCCATGAGAAGAAAAACCAACTTTCTTCCCAAGTGGAGTTAAATTCTAAATATGATAAGCCTCAGTTGGCACCAACCCTGGTTGCCAGAATTAACTTTTCCTTGTAATTTGTAAATGCATTCAGGCTTGTTTGGGGGTTTTCTTTTATGGGTCTGTCCCCACCCCCGCCTCTAAGCAGGGCCAATATCTGAATAGAACCAAAAGACCTCCAGCTGGGCTCCTTTCTCCCAACAAGCTTTGCAAGCTTTGCGGCATCTTCCTTGGATACAGTTCAGCTGGGGGCCTTCCCTATATTCCAGGAGGAATTTCTGCATCCTCACAGAGGGGCCCTTTGTTGTCTGAGGTTGTGAGAAGTTAACCACTACTTTGCACACGGAAATATCTTTTCCCTCTGTGAAGCAATGATCAAAGAAGAATGCCATTTAAACCAAGGAAAAACAAAACTGTGATTTATCTCTAGAATCTCTATGGGAAAAAAGAAAGGCCCTAATTACTTCAGTAACACATGATCAGCTGCAGTAGAAAGTGTAAAATTCACTCATCTATTGATGGATTTTAAAGTTTAGTCCTTGGTACAAAGTCTATGTGCTTTTTTAAAAAGCATACAAACATTTATTTTTTTCCCTTTTGCAGCTGCTCTGCTCACAAATACCTCCAATCTTTTTCAAATGCTTTAAGAATTTTTTCACTAAAAATATATTTGTATGTGTACATATTTATATATAAAATAGATATAATTACACAGACACATGCACAAATACATAGAAGCACACAAAGTTTAGGCAAAGTGTAGGAAGAAGCCTTAGTCAAGGAATCTAACCTAGGTTAGGGGCTCAGTTTTTTCTCAGGACTTATTTTAGTTTATGTCCATTTGCATATCTATTTTATACAATATATATAGACAACTTCATGTATTGCTTTTTTCCCCTTTAACATTATATTTTGAGCCTTTTCCATGACAATCCATAATGTCCATAATGATTGTTTTAAATAGCTGCAAATTATTCCAGTTAATTATGCCAGTTAACCATTTCTCTCTATTGCTTAACACTTCTGGAACTTGCCATTTTTGTTAAAGTCACCCTTCTTGCCGTTTCCAAGTTCCAAGTCTATGGTGCTAACCATAAGCTTCATATAATTGTAACGAGTGACCTGATTAAATTTCCTTTGCCTTTCCGTTTCTGAATTTTCTTCTGACACACAGTAAAGATCTATAGGACCAAGCTGTTAAGAGACAGCCAGGAGGCTGTTTCTCTATCACAAACCAGGCAATGCTGCATCCACAAGGCATCACCACTCTTCAGAGCTTTGTCCAGGTGAAAGCAAGGTGAACCTGCCCAGACATCACCTATCCAGGTAGAAATCCTCTTTTCCCAACAGTTAAAAACCCCGCACAGTAGATGCCAGGGAATCAGACCTGAATCCTTGTTGTTTAGTCACTAAGTTGTATCTGACTCGTTGTGACTCCATGGACTGTAGCCGGCCAGGCACTTCTGTCCATAGGATTTCCCAGGCGAGAATACTAGAGTGGGTTGCCGTTTCCTTCTCCAGGGTATCCTCCTGACCCAAGAATCCAGGCAGTGGATTCTTTGCCACCAAGCCACCCGTGAAGCCTGACCTGTATTCTTAACTTCTATTAATTTTCTCTTTTTTCTCTCTTCGCAGCACAAGCTCTTCCCCGGTGGAGGTCACAAGGCGTGTCCCTCTTAACAGCACGGGCCCCAGGAGAGATGGCTGTAAGCCACCCCGTACGCCAGTTTACGCCAATGCCCTTTGCATATCACTTTTTCTATTTAAGTCTGATTCTGTCTCAGTTGCCTCACAGATGTGGCATAAGAGATGTGTCTCAGATGTACACGCTGTCTCTCACACCTTCATTTGCCAAGGGCAAGCGAGGGGGGGATGGAACAGGAGGCAGGGCCGGGGGGCCAAGTCACCACAGTTGTGGGGCCGGCAGATCATTTGTAAACGGGAGCTCAGGGAGGTTGGGGGCACAGGACTCTTCACTAGGCCCCAGGGATGGCAGTGTAGTGACACTCAACAGACGTTCAAAGCCCAAACTTGGGCTCCAGATCAGAGGCAAGACTGTGTGTGTGTGTGTGTGTGTGTGTGTGTGTGTGGTGGTAGTGATGGTATCTGACACTTGAACATCCAGTTTGAGTTTGGTGTGTGTGTGTGTGTNTCCAGATCTGAGGCAAGACTGTGTGTGTGTGTGTGTGTGTGTGTGTGTGTGTGGTGGTAGTGATGGTATCTGACACTTGAACATCCAGTTTGAGTTTGGTATTTGATGTTCATCATTTCGTCTTCTTCCCATAAATTGGAAATACGCATTACTAGCTCCATTTTATGAATATAGAGAATGGTTTAGCAAGCTTAATTAACTCATGTAAGGCTACACAACTAGCAAATGGTGGAGCTGGGATTCAGAAAGTTTTTAATTTATATCATGGAGTCTTCCTTATGACAGGATTTATGTCATAAAGCCTACCATCATGGGGGAAGGTAGGAAGTATGGGAACATGGGATACAAGAGATCAGCTAACCCAGGCTTCCCATTCTTGGAGGGCCTCAATGTAGACTTTTGACCACTATCTCCAAATATACAGCCAGAGCTACACAGACAGGACTGAAAGAAGACAATGTTTATCACACAGCTTTGAACTTCAGCCCCATGTTTCCATAGTAAATTTCCTTCAGGTCCCAATGAACTAATACTTTCCATACAAATAGAAAAATTTTATCACCTTTATGCATGTATGAAGTATTGCAGATCTGTACATGAAAGCTTTTAAAATATTCTCTAATTTTTACTATCCCATTCTGTCATTATTTTACTACTTTAATATACCAAGAGCCTTGAAGAAAACAATGAAAAAGTAATCCAGACCTCTTTCAACATCTAAACAACTTGATCTGACATTACGGCTGTTCTAGAAAAATCAGGCTGCATATTCACCCTAAGTCAGACTTATGTGGAATTATTGCAGGGGAATTTTCAGAGCTGAAAGGTTCAGCTCTCATGTATCTCTTGTAGGACTTCACTGTTTGTGATTCTGTAAGTATCTGCATCTTAAGAACCTTAAGAGCTGTTAACCATGGATTACATACTTGGTATTGGCATAGTGAAAAAGCTGGCTTAAAACTCAGTATTAAAAAAACTAAGATCATGGCATCCTATTCCACCATTTCATGGCAAATAGAAAGGGAAGAGGTAGAAGCAGTGATAGATTTCCTCTTCTTGGTCTCTAAAATCACTGCGGATGGTGACCATAACCATGAAATTAGAAGATGATTTTTTCTTGGCAGGAAAGCTATGACAAACCTAGAGTGTGTTAAAAAGCAAAGACATCACTTTGCCAACGAAGATCCATATAGTCAAGGCTATGGTCTTTCCAGTAGTCATGTACAGATATGAGAGTTGGACAATAAAGAAGGCAGAGCACCAAAGGATTGACGCTTTCAAACTGTGGTGCTGGAGAAGACTCTTGAGAGTCCCTTGGACAGCAGGGAGATCAAACCAGTCAATATTAAAGGAAACCAACCCTGAATACTCTTTGGAAGGACTGATGCTGAAACTGAAGCTCTAATAATTGGCCACCTGATGCGAACAGCTGACTTACTGGAAAAGACCCTAATGCTTGGAAAGATTGAAGGCAGAAGGAGAAGAGAGTGACAGAGGATGAGATAGTTGGCTGGCATCACCGATTCAATGGACATGAATTTGGGCAAACTCTGGGAGATGGTGAGGGACAGGGAAGCCTGGCATGCTGCAGTCCACGGGGTTGAGAAGAGTCGGACAAGACTTGGCGAATGAACAGCAACAACACTGACATAGGAAAGCAATCAATCACCAGCAGCTGTTATTATGATGCTATTGGTCCTTCAGCTCCTGGCCAAGGGCTCAGCAGCAAGAGGCCTTCACTCTCTGCCCCAAGCTGGCCAGCCATGCCATGACTGAGACGCCATGTATCAAAAGAGGGACTTGAACATGTCAATTAAGTTGTCCTGGGACTTCCCTGGTGGTCCAGTGGTTAAGAATTCACCTTCCAATGCAGAGGACATGAGTTTGATCCCTGGTTGAGCAGATCCCCTGGAGCAGGAAATGGCAACCCACTCCAGTATTCCTGCCTGGAAAATTCCATGGACAGGGGAGCCTGGTGTGCTACAGTCCATGGGGTCATAAAGAGTCAGACACGGTTGAGCACGTATGCCATCTATCCTTATGGAGAACTAAGATCCCAGATGCTTCAGGTCTACTAAGCCCATGTGCCGCAACTACTGAGCCTGCTGCGCTCCACAACTAGAGAGGAGCCTACACGCCACACCAAAGAGCCGGCATGCGGCAGTGAAGATCTCATGTGTGGCAACTCAGACTTGGGGCAGACAAGTAAATAATTACATAGATATTTTTAAAAAAATTTAGTGTCCCTGGCCAGTGAAAGTGAAAGTTGTTCAGTTGTGTCCAACTCTGTGCAACCTCATGGACTGTCATGGAATTCTCCAGGCCAGAATACTGGAGTGGGTAGCCTTTCCCTTCTCCATGGGATCTTTCCAACTCAGAGATCAAACCCAGGTCTCCCGAGTTGCAGACAGATTCTTTACCAGCTGTCCCTGGCTAAATGTCTCCCATTTTACAGTGAGATCTGTGAAGTGTTACTGACACTCTGGTTAAGTTCTTAGTCTTAGCAGAGAAACAGTAAGAACAAAGAAATAGCTATTAAACTTCTATGAATAAAGATTAAAGTTAGAAACACAGCATTTTGCAGTGGGAAGTCCTGAGAAAAATTACTCTAGCCCTCATGTATTACGGATTGGGATCGGCAGCCCTGAGAAGCTAAGAGATGCCCAGCAATAATTTTCCTAACCATGCTGCTATCCTTGTAGAAGTCTAGAGTAAGTTACCTGATTTTGCTACATAAAGTTTTCTTGGAATACACCTATGCCCATTCATTTAGGAGCTGTCTCTGGCTGCTTTCAAGTTACACAGCAGTGTTGGGTAATGGTGACAGACACTGTATGACCCACAACTCCTAAAGTATCTACTTACTTTCTGGCCCTCTATGAAGTGCTGACTCTAGCCCCAAAGGATGAACAAAGCATATGAGGAGGAACCAAAGCATGCGAGAATCATGTGAGTGAAGGTGGAAGCAGGTCTCTGGAGGCCGGCCAGTGGGCACCTGAGTGAGCTCGGAAGCGGCTTCTCCAGCTTGCATGCAGCCTGGAGATGACCACGGCCCTGGCCAACAGCTGGACTATAACCCCAAGAGAGACCTTGAACCAGAGGTGCCCTGTTAAATTGTGCTTGGGTTCCTGGGAGATAACAAATGTTTGTTGTTTTAAGCTGCTAATTGGCGGGGGCGGGAGGTGGTTACTGTGTTACACGGCAATAGATAACTAATACAATTGTAGCTCTGGTGGTACAGAACCTGCCTGCCAATGCAGGAGATATCAGAGACACAGGTTTGATCCCTGGGTGGAGAAGACCCCCTGGAGGAGGGTATGGCAACCCACTCCAGTATTTCTGTCTGGAGATCCCATGTACAGAGGAGTCCGGTAGGTAACAGTCCATACGGCTGCAAAGAGTTAAACATGACTAAAGTGTCTTAGCATGCATGCATGCAGCTGGGCTCACCTTTTCAAGGTGAGTGAAATTCTGCCTCCCAGGTTTAAGGCCCACTGTGATCTGCTCTGTGGAGCTTTGTGAACCCTGGTCCCCAAGTCCAGTGGAAGCATCTGTGCTGACTCCTACGCAGACTCTATCCCTTGGTCTCGTGGTCAGTAACACAGATGTCTGTCTCTCTGGCTGGTGCTGTGGCTTATTCAGTTTTGTAACCACAAAATCTAATTTACTACCTATTATTCATAATGGCATAATAATATTATTAATAAATAATGATAATATTGAGTGCTTACTATGCATTGAGCACTTTATGTGCATTATCTCATTTAATCCTCATAACAGCCTTCATAATATCTCCAAGATATTATTCCAAGGAGATATTATTCTTAAGCCCATTTAATAGGGGAGAAAAACAGGTTACACAATTGCCTTTTATCCTCTAGTGAGCAAGTAGGAGAACCAAGATTTGAGCTCTGACTGACCCTTAAGCTGCCACACTCTATCAACTGAGACCCCAAATCCCAGGATATGGGGCTCCAGGGTAGGTACTGCCACATTTACCTGCCACACTTAAGAGTTGGCATGCTGTAACTAAGACCCAGCACAGCCAAATAAATAAGTACTAAAAAAAAGAGAGAGAAAACTACTGACTTTAAGTTCACAGCAAATAAAGAATCAAAATGAAATGATTTCCCAATCTTTGTCCAGGCACCCGTGGCAGACCTAAAGGAGGTCAGGAAAACAAGAAGTGGAGAGGGCAGAGCCTGAGGAAGGGGAAAGGGATGCTGGAACCTGCTCCTGACACCCCTTTCCCACTTCTGTTCCTCCACCTCCTGCTCTTGGAATCACCGTGGCTGCACACCCCCACCCCATCTGCAAAACCCCCCACACAGTGGTGGGATAATGAGGAGAAGTCCTCAGTTCTTCCACACTTTGGGAGCTCTTGCTGGACTGCCCTGGGCTCTTTCCTCCCTGGAAAGCCCTCTTCATGTTGTCTAGCTGACTACGACTTCTCACTCCATCTTGGCCTCTTCCAGGAAGGAGAGCACCCTGGATCCCTGGGCTATGCTGGTCGTCCGGTTCTGAACGCCCACAGGACCCGCTGCACCTTTCAGAGAAGAGTCACAAGTTTTTGCAGTTGCATCCTTGGTGTGTAGAAAAGTGCTTGACTTACATTTGACTGATTTTAGATGAATAAAGGAAAGAATTTTTACCTGTTTCTAGGCTGTTCTGTGCTAGAATGTAAATTCCCTAAGAAAACTGTCTGGCGCTCAATTCAGCACCAGGCATGCAGTGGGAGCTCAATAATATTTAACCAACTGGCCCTAAATGTCTGGCATTATACTAACAGATTCAGGGCAGTAGGTCTGATTAAAGGGAGCTGAGGTCAAGAAATGGCTTCAGGGTTCAGAAGACACCCCAACTGTGACCACACTTGAATGGATTCCCAGGATCTTCCTGGACATGGGTTCTCATGATTTAAGTTCCTAGACTTCATGATGCCATTACATCAGTGTGTGCTCATCCTCTAAGAAAGTATTATCTATCTAGTCTGCTTAGATTGCAGCCAAATGATATGTTTTCTTCAAAAGTTAAAAAAGAGTACTTCTGTATGGGTTACCTATTTCATCTTGCTTCCTTAAATGCCACACACACACAAATACCAAAAACTAACAGAGCTTCCCTTCCAACCAACAACAAAATCCCAGGAGACCAAAAACTTTCTCAGGATTTCCTTTAAGTGTTATTTCTGATGAGTTAGGTAAAATGGACATCACCCTCCCAAATAAAGAACTTGATGTATTTTTCATATCAAAACCAGAAAAAAAGAAGATGCTTAATCACTCAAAAAATGTGCACTATATTTCTCACCATTACTTAGCAATCCACTTACTTTTCTAAGAGAGCTGAGAACACTCAGACATGGTCTGTCTCCAATAGATGCCTGTCCAAACTTGAGTCAAATATATCTTGGTCAGTTATTATTTTTATCTTTTCCACTTAAGCATTCCTAATCCTATACAAGCAATTTTCCAGAAAATAATGGGAACTCCCTTAGCTGTTTTTTTCCTTCCTTCATTTCTTTCATTAACAAATATTAGATGTCCATAAGATTAAGGTTAAAAGATTCTTCTTTCTTGGAAGGAAAGCTATGACAAAACTAGACAGTGTATTAAAAAGCAGAGCCATCACTTTGCCAACAAAGGTCCATATAGTCAAAGCTATGATTTTTCCAGTAGTCATGTACAGATGTGAGAATTGGACATAAAGAAGGCTGAGTGCCAAAGAACTGATGCTTTTGACCTGGAGTGCTGCAGAAGACTCTTGAGAGTCCCTTGGAAAGCAAGGAGATCAAACCAGTCAATCTTAAAGAAAATCAGCCCTGAATATTCATTGGAAGGACTGGTGCTGAAGCTGAAGCTCCAACGCTTTGGCTACCTGATGTGAATAGCTGACTCATTGGAAAAGACCTTGATGCTGGGAAAGATTAAGGTCAGGAGGAGGAGGAGAAGATAGAGGATGAGATGGTTGGATGGCATCACTAACTCGATGGACATGAGTTTGAGTAAGTTCTGGGAATTGGTGATGGACAGGGAAGCCTGGCGTGCTGCAGTACATGGGGTCGCAAAGAGTCGGACATGACTAAGTGACTGAACTGAAATGAACTGAACTGACAATGGGGATAATGCTGTTTCTAGCATGATTACAAGGTTTAGAGACAGGGCATACAAAGGTCCTAAAATACTGCCTCAAACATAACTAAGTGTGAAGTGGTGGCAGAGTCACTGAAAAGACTCCTTTTCTGAACACACATGGACCCTTCAGGACACTGCTTCTTCTCTTAATAGAGATGTGCTTTGCAAATGTGACTGTGAGCGAGTCAGTGCAAGCCAGGTCACAACAAGATTTCTTAGGTATGTGCAAGATGGTTACTTGGCTCCCTCAAAGCACTATTTCAACTCTTCTCAGAAAATTTTTAAAAAAGTGAAAGAAACCTTGTAATTGGGAGTGTTTTAGCAGACCCAAAGGGCAACTTCTAATAGTAGATATTTTATGTTGAATCATGGGCATGAGTTTTCTCCTGTGAAATCAGCATAGATAATAGTCATGTGGGGAGGGTCTTTTTTAGATGAATGAAACTCTCTTAAAGAGTGTTTGATATTTTCAAAAATACGCTGCCCTGGAACATCTATCAATACATTTGGGATTCCAAGCCTCTTTAGACCCTTTATTTTTTTTAAAGTAGATATTTAAAAATTACAAATACAAAAAGGCTTATATATTTTTTAAGAAAATGTGGAATAGGAGTAATGAAAGGTTAAAAGTTAAAGTGTTAGACGCTCAGTCATGTCAGACTTTTTGTGACTCCATGGACTGTAGCCCGCCAGGTTCTCTGTTCATGGGATTTCCCAGGCAAGAATACTGGAGTGCTGGGTATTAGTTGCAGCATAAGAACTCTTAATTGAGGCATGTGGGATTTAGTTCCCTGACCAGGGATTGAACCCAGGCCCACTGCTTTGGAAGCTCGGAGTCTTAGCCACTGGACCACTAGGGAAGTCCCCTCTTATGCCTTCTAATAAGAAGGTAAATAGGCTGAACTGATACCATATTTCCCCCTCTAGAATATAGCATGTTCTTCAAAGAATAAAAAGAACAACCCATTTATTATGCATATTAGTCAGGTCAAATCTAAAGGAAGTCAGGATTCTAAGACCTCACTTGTCCTTTAATTGTATATGCATTTAGAAACCCTATTTATTCTGAATTTCAGGGACACCAAGGATTAACTGTCAAGCCAAGGGCAATTTCAGCAAATGCTAAGCATTTCAAGCATAGAAGGGGTAACAGAGCTACTGGGAGTTAGCTTAACCTTAAGATATAAGAAAATTATAACAATAATACATGATCATATGGTTAAGGAGAAGATACAAAGGAAGGAATGTATATGAATTTCAAAGCTAGAAATACTAAAAGAAAAAAATTAATGGCTGTAAAGTACCTAGTTATATTTATGTAGCACATTATTGAAGACAATTTGATATGTGTTTCTGGGGAAATCACAGAATTTAGCCTAGAAACATTTTACGCATAAGGACTTTAGGTAATATATACTGTTAAATTTAAACATCATTCAAATTCATAGATTTCAGTGAGAGCTGCTATATCATCATGCTTCATTAAAACTCAAGCTAGGTTCTTGGGTGGGAAACATTCTAAATCGGGGGAAAAAAGCACAAAATATCATTAAACAAATATGACAAGCTGTCAGAATTAAAACCTCAAACTATATCCATGGCTGATTCATGTCAATGTATGGCAAAAACCACTACAATATTGTAAAGTAATTAGCCTTCAATTAATAAAAATAAATGAAGAAAAAAACCCAAAAAACCTCAAACTATAAGCATTGAACTGGATTATCTAAATTGACTTTTTAAGAGTAATGATAATAAAATGTATGTATGTGAACATACAAACTTAAGCTTGAAAAAGGGGGAAGTTTTTCTCTCCTGGTGGAGTTTACATAATGTATACTGGGCTAGAACTGTTGATGAGAATAGTTCCTTAAACTATAGTGTCTTTAAATTTGAGTACACATTGCTAAACCATATAATGTAAGTTTAGAAGGAATGTAAAGTAAATGTATCAGTTCAGCTCAGTTCAGTTGCTCAGTCGTGTCTGACTCTTTGCGACCCCATGGACTACAGCATGCCAGGCTTCCCTGTCCATCACCAACTCCTGAAGCCTGCTTAAACTCATGTCCATTGAGTCAGTGATGCCATCCAACCATCTCATCCTCCATCGTCCCCTTCTCCTCCTGCCTTCAATCTTGCCCAGCATCAGGGTCTTTTCCAACGAGTCAGCTCTTTGCATCAGGTGGCCAAAGTATTGGAGTTTCAGCTTCAGCATTGGTCCTTCCAATGAATATTCAGGACTGATTTCCTTTAGGATGGGCTGGTTGGATCTCCTTGCAGTCCAAGGGACTCTCAAGAGTCTTCTCCAACACCACAGTTCAAAAGATTAATTCTTTGGCGCTTGGCTTTCATTATAGTCCAACTCTCATATCCACACATGACTAATGGAAAAACCATAGCTTTGACTAGGTGGACCTTTGTTGGGAAAGTAATGTCTCTGCTTTTTAATATGCTGTCTAGGTTTGACATAGCTTTTCTTCCAAGGAGCAAATGTCTTTTAATTTTATGGCTGCAGTCACCATCTTTTATTTTGGAGCCCCCCAAAATAAAATCTGTCACTATTTCCATTGTTTCCCCATCTATTTGCATGAAGTGATGGGACCAGATGCCATGATCTTAGTTTTCTGAATGTTGAGTTTTAAGCCAACTTTTTCACTCTCCTCTTTCAAGAGGCTCTTTAGTTCTTCTTTGCTTTCTGCCATAAGGGTGGTGTCATCTGCATATCTGAGGTTATGCTTTTCAAGTTAAATCCTTGAAACCTTCCTTCCCCAGCCTGTAGGGCGCACATTTCCTGCCTAGGAGAACACTGTGGTCAGTCAAGATAGGCTTCCTCTCTGGGCAACTGCAGAGGAACTGGGATTTTGTGTGAAACTGTTTCCTCTTCTTTCTTTTATTGCTTCACCAGGGTTTGACCTCATCAGACCTACACTGGAGCAGTTCTGCTAGTTCTTTTTCTCCCTCTTCCCCAGAGAGGGGCTCTAACAGCTTACGTCTCAGGGTTAAACTCCCAGCATGTCCTCGGAACTTTACACACCTGTGCAAGAGTTAAACGCCAAACAGCATATCCAGCCTGGGGCCCTCTTGGCTGGGGTGAGGCCGCAGGTGGGCTGTGTGGCTGACTGCTATTGCTAAACAAACCCGAACTCGAAGCCCCAACTGCTGCAAAGGGGTGGTGATTACACAGTCAAGAGGAGGAGGGGAATGCCCCTCCTTGCCGACAACTCAAAGGAAAGCACGAGGCTCCTTTAGTCCAAGCTCTTCAACTCCTACAGTGCTTTGCAACCATTCGTATTCAAGCAGTACCTGGAACAAAAACAAACCCAGTGCTCACTCTCCTGGAGTTGGGACCCATTGTCATTAAATTCAGTAGAAACGGGCAAACACAATTTAAAAAATTCTGAATGAAGCCAAAAATCACCATTTCTATTTGTATATTATGATTCATACTTCAGGCCTAACTTCTGATCAAGCTTAATGTATATTACAGCCAAGGCTAGGAACTGACTTTGAAAAAAGAAATACTATACAAGATGTATACTATTTCCCTCACTTGTTGCAAATTGCCTTGTATCATTTCAAGTGAGCTAGGCAGGTTTTTAATGCTGTTAGGTTTTTAGTCTACTACGGCACTTCAGAACTCGGATGGACATAGAAAATCCTCAGACCCCAATATTTTGTAAAATATTGCCATATGTGCTCAATCACTCAGTTGCATCAGATTCTTTGTGACCTCACAGACTGTAGCCCACCAGGCCCCTCTGTCCATGGGATTCTCCAGGCAAGAATACTGGAGTGGGTTACCATTTTCTCCTCCAGGGGATCTTCCTGACCCAGGGATTGAACCCATGTCTCCTGCATCTCCTGCAGTTCAGGTGGATTCTTTACTGTTGAGTCACTGGGGAAGCCAAATAGTGCCATAAATTTAAACAATTAAAAGGTATTGTACATACGTAACTATATGTATCTACAACTGTGCTGGCCATTGTGGAAAACTTAAAAACTATGTGACTCACTCTTTCCAAGAATTTGATAAGCTGATTAAGAAGCCAAATCCAATACATGAGGCAATCTGATGGTAACTAAACATAAAACACCACGGTACTGCAGTCCAGTCCTCAACTTAGCTCTGCCTGCGTTCACTCTCTGGGCTAAGAATTTACACATCCCCTTTGCTTTAGTGTCTACAACTTAATTTACTTCACCATACACAGTATGATATAAATGTTTCATTTATTAAACTTTAGGGGGTAGTGAGAAATTTACACTTCAGGGTGATCAACAAGTACCTAATCAGGAAGTCCAAACATAGAAGAGGTCATTAAATGCAAATCCACTGTCCACTTATTAAGATATGAATTGGTGAATGGCATAAATGGGTTTTCACTGGTGAAGTCACTGATATTCTTGTTATTCTTTTCCGATCCCAGAGGAAACCTATGGATGTTTGTAGAACTGAAACAAACAATCTGTTTCTCTCTATTCTCCTGTTTCAGTTTCTCTGGAACGAATTTTGGAATTGTACACTTGGCACCTATAATTACTCCAACTTATACTGGGATTCCTCGAATCATCAGAGGCTAAAGTCCTTTGGCCTTTCCCTGTTTTAGCACCTGGGGTCCTACCTCACCCCCTCCTGGAAGCCAGTGTGTGCCCATTCATCCCTCTTGGACTCTCCATGGGTGATGACTGCTTTGGCGTCTCTCCATATCCCCTCAGTCATTTGCCTTAGACAGCACTTCAGAAGAGGGTATCTATTTAACCTTCATTTCATTAAAAAAAAACAACAAACAACCAAAACCCTTTCTGCACGGCCTAGTAAAAGATGAGAAAGTGTCTCAGAACGGCTTTGGCTGGGGTAGCCAACCCCCAGCTGGCTCCTGTGGTCCCTGCCTCCTGGTGTCGCATCTTTGCGAGGTCCTCTTCCCGCACTGACGCAGGGCTGGCCTGTGTGTTCAATAACACAATGATATGATGTGTGATTACCAAGGCTAGGGTGGGTTAGGTTAGGAAAAGCGTAATTGCTCCTGCAGTAGTCTTCCAAGTGGTTCACTCTGGGGGAAGCCAGCTGCCCTGCCGTGAGGACCCTGATGCGGTGGAGAGGCCCTGTGGAGGGGAACCCACGGAGCCACCTCGGAAGTGCATCAAGCCTCAGTGACTGAAGCCACAGCCAGATACCTGAGAGCAAGCTCCCGAGAGACCCCACGCTGGAAAGGCACCCCTGGCTGCTCTCACATTCACGGCCCTCTGTTTTGCTCTCACCACGAGAGAAACTTCCAGGCTTCTGCTGAGATGGAGGAGGTGCTGCCACCCAGGCGCTTGCAGTTGGAACAGGAGGGTGGGGTGTCACCTGCTTCTTAAACACAGTTCCACCACTCCCACCATTCTGGCCTCGGGGGCCTCTCCCCTCAGCCCGAGGCACCCACCGCTCCAGTCCTGGAGCATTCTGAGTACCCTGCCAGAACTTCCCCAGCAGGCCAGTGGCTGAAACTCTGTGCTTCCAATTCCGGGGGCATGAGTTCGATCCTTGGTTGGGAAGCTAAGATCCCACATGCCTTGTGGCCAAAAAAAAAAAAAAAAAGGTGAAAAAAAAAAAAAAAAAAAGGTGGGGGAAGAGGGCATGAAAACTGATGGGATTCATCTGTCCCCTTTCCAGCTTCTGGGTCGGCATTCTCAGGCCCACTGGGTGCGTGACTTCTCATCCGCCTACTTTCTATTAACACCAGCAGCAGCTGCCTTGGATCTCTGAATCAGGGGAAGGTCCAGGTAATACTCAGGATGTGTGCACACATACGTGCTCCGTCGTTTCAGGTGCATCCAACTCTTTGCGACCCCGTGGACTGCAGCCTGCCAGGCTTCTCTGTCCATGGAATTGTCTAGGCAAGAATGCTGGAGTGGGTTGCCATGCCCTCCTCCAGCGGATCTTCCTGACCCAGGGATCGAACCTGAATCTCTTATGTCTCCTGCATTGGAAGGTGGGTTCCTTACCATTTGCACCACCTGGGAAGCCCAGTATTCAGGGTGGGTACCATACAAAGAGAGGAGAATGAAGTAAATGTGCATTCAGTATCCTGAGATTCCTCCTGTCTCCTCACCCTCAATCTCCCAAACAAACACTGGCAGCCAGACCCTTACCCTCGGGGCAAGAGTTTGCAGGCATTTTCTAAGGGGGTCTGGCCAACACAGGAGGAAAGCCCTAAAATGACTGATGGTGGAAGTTCCCTAACAATAGCTCAGCCAGATCTTACAAATCACCATCAATAAGTGTAATCTATCTCCCACCCTCACATTTTCATTTGGAACTTTAGTTAAACTCCCTCACTCTTATGTATAAGAACATTAATGATTATCAAATAGCTGAGGAAAACCAAAAAACAATATGGAGAGATCAGGAACTATGGAGTAAAAAGAAAATTTCAAAAAAAGGTTATTAAAGAATTCACAGAGATAAGAGAAATATATTGTCTCATGAAGCAAGAAAATGATACTGTTTAAAAAGAGAAGAACAACAAAAAAGCCTGTTAGTTATTAAAAATAGGATAGCATAAATAAAAACTTGACTTGAAAGAATTTAAGTTAAAAGTGAAGAAATTAGAGTGAAAAGACAAAGAAACAGATCACAGGAGAGCAAGAATAAGAAAAGCAGATCAATAATCCAGGAATTCCAGGAGATCTAGAAAGTAACATAAAAGAAAACAAAACACCCACAGGAGAAGAAAATATCAAATATTTTCCAAGAAAATTTCTCAAAACTGGAGCGTAGATTTTCTAGATTTAAAGGGCCCAGTGAGTTTCTAGTTGGTGTTCAGTCACTAAGTTGTATCAGACTCTTTCGCATCCCCATGGATAAGTAGCCTGCCAGGCTTCTCTGTCCATGGGATTTCCCAGGCAATAATACTGGAATGGGTTGCCATTTCCTTCTCCAGGGGATCTTTCCAACCCAGGGATCAAACCCGTGTCCCCTACATTGGCAGTCGGGTTCTGTACCACTGAGCCACCACGGAAGCCCCCGAGTTTCCTGTAGAATGGATTACAAAACAAAAACAAAACCCACAAAAGCCTGCACTGAGGGGTATCACTGTGAAATTTCCCAACATATTCAACCAACTTTCAGAGAAGAAGATAAGAAAATACACACACACACACACACACACACACACACACACACATATACATATATTTGACTGGGGACTGGAGCGGTGACTGGAATTAAAATACTTACAGCAGCCATTCTGTGACCAAGGAAACAGTAGAGCCATGTCTCCAAAATTTGGAAGAAAAAAAAAAATCTGAGTGAAAATAATTTCCAACATAGAACTCTCTATGAAATCATGTTATCAGTCAAGTGAGGTAGAATTACAGACATTTTTAGACAGGCAAGTTCTTACATACTTTTAAACTTCATATGCTTTCTCTCAGGGAGCTACTGTAGATATAGTCCATGAAAACGAGGAAATAAAACAAGAAAAAAGAGGTCTATGAAATAGGAGCTCCAACACAGGAGAGAAATGAAGGGACCCTGTGGAACTGCAGTGACAGAAGATCTCAGTGATAACCAGGCAGAGGGGGCAACCAGTCCAGATGAGCAGGTGAGCAGTCTCTGAGAGAGATTTCTTCAAAAGCATGAAATGGACAGAATGGATACAATACCTGATATGAAGCTGACAGAATCATGGAACACCTTTGGAGAATATTTATACAACTGGCAAATATTTCAGTACTGAATGGATATTTAAGTACATAAAACACACACACACACACAAACCAAACAGACAAAAATAAACAAACAAGTAAAAAGAAGATTATTAACTCTAGGAATAGGTTATGCTGATAAGAAAAGAAATAGCATAGGCTCCATTTCTGAACTGCACGGTCATAATAATGTAAACGTTGAATATTTTTCTAATCAAAACTGAGATGACACTACACTGTGAGGATGGCGAGTGCACATAGTATAGAAGAACAAAGAGCTAAGTCCTCGTGTTTGTGGGGGAAAGTCAGCGTACAGTGATGTCTCTGAAAAAAGCAGGAGGTGGCGGTACTTACTTGCCGTTAAGCTATATGGAGGCGGAGTGGAAAGTAGTTTCTCTGGGGCAGGGGCAAAGAGGAGCAGGAGCCTGGGACCTGCTCATTTTCTTAAGGAATCTTGTAGAACCAGCATGTCCTTTAAGCTGTACCCTGCTATATATGATTTTGATGAAAACTTCAAAAGTAATTTAAAGTGTAATAGTATATAGACAGCTAATGTGTACTGCTTTTTCAAAATAACACCTATGTAATTTTGATGAATAATATTTTGGCTGTTTACTTTCCTTTTTCATAAATTGAGAGGGTTGGACTAGACCTCTGCGTGTGTATGTTTTTTTGGATCTCTTTGTACATGTGCCTGGACTTGTGAACATAAATACACAGAAATCTGGTAATCAACAGTGGAATTCCCCTGATTATTTGATCATTAAAAGTTAGTATGTATTATCTACATATTTACAAAGACATAATCTGATCCTACCGAATGAAGGAGAACAAGGTGGCACAACCATCTATTGATTTGTAGAGAAACGCCTGAGGTTGCATTTCTGTCTTCCTCTGTCCATGTGAGAGGAGACACAGGAAAAGACTAAAGTTCCCTGCTGTTTAGACTCTGGCCTGTGACGCAAGTATGGTGATGCGGGCCTAAAAGTTAATATTTATCCATCTCAGGGAGTTAAACTTGGCTTGAGAACTTGGGTGGAGGCTGGGAGTAGAAGGAAAGTGCTACAAACTCTGGTGAAGTTAATGCTTTAGCATAAATTTGTGCTAAAGTCAATGTTAACCTTGGTAGCACAGCCAAGTCACTGGCATCTTCTCTAGCATGTGCCTAGGAAGTTGATGGTGAGTCCTTCAACTTTCACTTCACTTTCAACAAAACCAACACTAAAATGGGGAGGCTAGGTATGGAGCTCAGAATTAAAGAGAGATATGAAGATTGTGCAGTTCAAATCTCCCATTTCTTCCTAGCTTGGTGACTGGTAACTCAATCTCTCTAGGCCCTGAATTCTTCATCCATGAATACTTATTTCATATAGCTGTTAGGAGAAGTGTATGTGTTAATACCTGGAGAACACTGAAAACAGTGCCTACATGTGTCTTCTCTAAAAACATACGCAAAGAACAGAACTGATTTATTGGGGTCTTAGATTCATGGCTGGTGTGCACTTTCATGTGCTCTGGCGTGCTTTCTTTCTCTTTCTTTAACTTGGACTTTATTTATGTAACCTGGTCTTCAGAATAATGGAAGCTCTAAGAAGAGAGACTTTCCCATGACAACTTTGGTCAAGTCAATCTCAAAAAGTCAAGGAACACATTGTTCACTGACCATAGTAATCCTGTTTGGCAAAATCTCAGGTTACATTCATTTGCACCAACGTTTAGTATCTGACGCTAAAGCTTTCCTTTGGACACCAGATGTATTTGGCATTCTTGGATGTGGTGGACAAACTCTGTCCTAGTGCCAAGTCAACGAGTCCAACGACTGGCTTAAGGACATGCTCGCATTCCTTTTTATTATTCCAGGTCCTCAACAATATCTGGCCTACAGAGAAGGAGGTTGCTTGTTGAATTTAAAATGAAAAAAAAAAAAAATTGGTATGCTTCTCATAGTTGAAAGTTATACAACCATACCTTACAGTTACTCACAATTCTCTCATCTATGAATGCAATCTTATTTTTCTCACTCATTTTTTTCTGTTTATACTAAAATTTTTATAGGTTAAATCACTATTTTAAATGGAATGTTACTATATCATTATTGTATGTGTAATTTACATTTAAAGAAATTAATAAAGAAGACTCACTGTAGGGAAGTAATACTGTTTAGTTGTGAGCTGTATTTTTGCCTTAAAAAAACCCCAAAGAATATTAATTCCTTATCAGATATATGGTTTCCAAATATTTTCTCTCATTTCATAGGTTGGCTTTTCACTCTACCATTTCCTTTGCTATATGAAGCTTTTTTAGCTTGATGCAGTTTCATTTGTCTATTTTTGCTTTTGTTGCCTGGGGTCTTGGTGTAAGATCCTAGAAATCAATGCCAAGATCAACGCCCTGAAGGTTTTCTGTCATATTTTTGGAGTTTTATAGTTTCAGGTCTTAGGTTTACTTTAGTCCACTGTGAGCTGATTTTTGTGTATGGTGTAAGATAAGGGTCTAATTTCCTTCTTTCGCATGTGGATATCCAGTTTTCCCAACTGTCTTTTCCTCAGTGTGCATTCTTGGCATCCTTGTCAAAGATCAGTTACTCTTATGCTACAGACCCGAGGTCTGTGTGCCCGAAAGAACGGGACTGTGCGTGTGTGTGCTCACTTGCTCAGTTGTGTCTGACTCTTTGCGACCCCAGGGACTGCAGCCCCCCAGGTCCCCCTGTCCATAGGGTTCTCTAGGTAAGAATACTGGAGCGGGTTGCCATACCCTCCTCCGAGGGATCTTCCCGACTCAGGGATCGAACCTGAGTCTCCTGTGTCTCCTGCATTGGCAGGAGGATTCTTTATCCACTAAGCTACCTGGGAAGCCCCCAGAATGGGATTAGTGCCTTTATAAAAGAGACCCCAGAAAGCTCCCTAGTGCCTTATGCCACCTGAGGTTACAGCAAGAACATAGTTCTCTATGAACCAGGAGGTAAGATCTCACCAAATATTGAATCCCAACACCTTGATCTTGGATTTCCCAGCCTCCAGAACTGTGAAAAATACATTTCTGTTTTTTACAAGTCACCCATTCTATGGCATTCTGTTATAGCAGCTTCGATGGACTAAGATTCCAAGTATTTATAAACTTATTTCTGGGCTTTTTATTCTTTTCCATTAGTCTGTATGTCTGTTTTCAGTATCAAACTGTTTTAGTTACTGCAGCTTTGTGATACACTTTGAAATCAGAAAGTGTGATATCTCATGCCTTTTCTTTCTCAGGTTTGCTCTGGCTATTCTGGGTCTTTTGTGGCTCCATATGAACTTTAGAATTGTTTTTTCTTTTTCTGTGAAAGCATTGAGATTTTGAGATTCTGACAGATGTTGCACTGAATCTGTAGATCACTTTGGGTAACATGGGCACCTTAACAACATTAAGTCTTCCAGTCCATGAACATGAGGTGTCTGTTTATTTCTGTCTTCTTTATTTCTTTCATCAACGTTCTATAGTTTTCAGTGTACAGTTCTTTCACCTCCTTGGTTAAACTTGCTCCCATACAAATAAAGTATTTTATTCTTTTTGATGCTACCGTAACTGGGATTGTTTTCTTAATTTTCTTCTTGGATAATCTGTTTTCAGCACATAGAAATGCAGCTGGTTTTTGTATGTTGATTCTGTATACTCTGACTTTACTGAATTCCTTTATTAGTTTTAATTTGTGTGTATGTGTGTGTAATCTTCAGGCTTTTCTACATGTAAGGTTCTGTGGATTTTTATAATCATTTCATAAATGTTGTTAGACAACAGGTTATTTGAGAAAACTTAGATCCTGAATTAAATGAGAATGAAAATATTTGGAGGGAAATACAAGTGAATATTTATCTAATTAAAGAATAAGGAAGGATTTTTTTTTGTTACTAAAGTTCTTGAAAAAACACAAGTAAAAGATTAATAAGTTACATAAAAAGCAAACATTTTTCACCTTAAAATGTGAAAAACTGCAAAGATCAAATGAAACATTTGTGACACAGATGATAAAGGGTCACTATCTTTAAAAGGGTTCATAATCCAGTAGGATATTTATTAAAGATATCAGCAACAAAGGACATGACCAACCAATTAAGAAGTGAATAAATATTAAAGACAATGAACATGAAAAATTACTCATACTTAAAGCAAAGACTGAATCTTGATGAATACTGCTTAATGTAAAAAAAGCATCTATACTAATAAATTGGTTTAGTAATAAATATGTGAGACCTCTTATTTGAAAAACAAAAAACTGATCAATCAAATACATAAACAGAAGTGAGTGTGGTAATAAAAGCAGGTAAAGAGTTTCAGGGAGCAAGGATTGCCCAGCAGTGTTAAATGACCCTCAAGGGTCAGGGAAGCAAAGGACTGTAATGCCTCCCAAGTTCAGCACCAAGAAGGTGACTGGTGATCTTGGCAAAGGCAGTTTTGGTGCAGGTGTGAATCTGGAAGCTAGACTGCTATGGGTTACCCAGCTTCCTCAGTAGGAGGTGAAGAAGTGGGAACGTTACCCATAAAAACTCTAGAGGGAAACTGGTTGTGAAAGGAAGGTGAGAGAGAATGAGAAAGAAGAAAGCAGGATAAAAGGAAGGTTTGCTTAAGTTGGGAGTTTTCAAGTTGTTTGGGTATGCTGGTTGGAGACAGTGGAAAGAAAGGGAGGAGTTGAAGACAGAGGAAAGAGAGAGGATTATGGCTGGAATAAGGTCTGCTAGCAGGCAGAAGGGAATGATGGAGGGTCAATCAGCCTCAGACAGGAGATGGTGAGAAATGAGATGGACCTCTGCTCAGGGTCTTCATTCTATGTCTTCCTGTTCTGCAGATGCTAGAGAGCAGAAAAGAGTCCCCAGCCTCACTTGCAGCAGGGTTCCCAGATCCACTTGGATGCAGACAAGCCTGTGCAAGACGGGGGGCTTCCCAGGTGGCACAGTGGTAAAGAATCCACCTGCAATGCAGGAGACACAGGTTCAGTTCCTGGGTTGGGAAGATTCCCTGGAGTAGAAAATAGTAACCTACTCCAGCATCCTTGCCTGGGAAACCCCAGGGATAGAGGAACCTGGCGGGCTGCAGTCCGTAGTGTTGCGAGAGTCAGACACAGCTGAGCAACTGAGCGCGCATGCCTGCAAGATGAGACAGGGAGAAGGAGGGGAGGCAGGGGCTAGACTGCGGCCACTTCTGCTAGCAAACCCCACAGGGACACACTGGGTTTTCCATCAGCAGTGTTCCAGCACCCTGGTGCTGTGTGGACGTCAAGAGGCAGAAGGTGGGGCATTGGTTTTTTTGTCTGTGCAGACCCCTGAGTTGTGGTGTACTTCTAGGGCCATCATTCACGACAGCTCATGCCCCAGCTAAGGTAGTGTTCCGCTGACCATTTCCCATTCCCCCTCTTTTTGGTTGTGTAAGAGGAGGCAGCTCCCTGGGAGGGTTACTTGTATGGCGGCATTTGTTGTTTTGGTGTTATTGAGCCTGCTACTCAAGCCTTTCTGGGGATATTGTAAGCATTCGATTCCTTGTATTAAATTTCCTTTTGCTTGTAATGCCTAAATAATTTCTGTTTCTTGATTGAAAGTGACATCTCCTCCTGTGTTGAGAGGGAAGGAAGAAGGGATGTACATGTAGATAAATGTGTGTGTGTGATGAAAATCTCCCCAAATACAGGAGTTTTTAAGCTATGGTGTTATAGAGCCTCAAGGAGTTCCTGGATAGGGTTCAAGGCATCAGTAAACTTAAATGAGTAAAAGTCATATCTCCTTCTTTCTGAATCTCTAACTTAAATTGAGTATTTTCTTCAATTCTGAATGTAGGCATTACATTACACCATTGCTGGCAGTTCCTATGACTTCACCCTTAACAGAAAGCAGGCATTTTCACAATGTTTTAGAGCTGCTGTAGATCCCAAACATTGTTTATGCTCATAACTATGGTATTTACTAGACTCCTGCTAGATCTTGTTCTGTAATATATTTATAAAGAAATGCACACTGATGTTTTTCCAAAGAAGACATCAGATGACTAAGAGGCACATACAAAGATGCTCAACAACACTAATTATTAGAGAAATGCAAGTCAAAACAACCAAGAGGTATCACCTTACACCTGCCAGAATGGTTATCATCAAAAAGTCTACAAATAACACATGTTGGAGATGTGGAGAAAAGGGAATCAGCATACACTGTTGGTGGGAATGTAAACTGGTAGCACACTATGGAAAAGCAGTATAGAGGTTCCGCAAAAAATTGAAAATAGAACAATCATATGATCCAGCAATTCTACTCCTAGGTATGTATACAAAACCCCCCAAAAACAAAAAGAGCAAAAAGAAAACACAAATTTGAAAAGTTACATGGCACCCCAATATTCATAGCAGCATTATTAAATGCACACTGATGTTTTTCCAAAGAAGACATCAGATGACTAAGAGGCACATACAAAGATGCTCAACAACACTAATTATTAGAGAAATGCAAGTGAAAACAACCAAGAGGTATCACCTTACACCTGCCAGAATGGTTATCATCAAAAAGTCTACAAACAACACATGTTGGAGATGTGGAGAAAAGGGAATCATCATACACCGTTGGTGGGAATGTAAACTGGTAGCACACTGTGGAAAAGCAGTATAGAGGTTCCGCAAAAAATTGAAAATAGAATAATCATATGATCCAGCAATTCTACTCCTAGGTATGTATACAAAACCCCCCAAAAACAAAAAGAGCAAAAAGAAAACACAAATTTGAAAAGTTACGTGGCACCCCAATATTCATAGCAGCATTATTTACCATAGCCAAGATATGGAAGCAACCCAAGTGTCTATAAACAGATGAATGGAAAAAGATGTATATATATACATCCACACACACATATACACACAATGGAGTATTACTCAGCCATAAAAAGAATGAAATTATTTCATTTGCCACAATCTGGATGGATCTAGAGAATATTATACCTAGTGGAATAAGTCAGAGTCAGAAAATCCTATATGATATCATTTATATGTGGAATCTCCAAAATAATATAAATGATCATATATGCAAAACAGAAACAGACTCACATATATAGGGTATGGGATTAAGAGACAAACTACTGTGTATAAAATAGATAAGCAACAAGGATATATTATACAGCATAGGGAATTACAGCCATTGTCTTTTTTTTTTTCCAGCCACTGTCTTATAATAACTTTTAATGGAGAATATAATCTGGAAAAATACCCAATCATTATTCTATATACCTGAAACAAATACTGTAAATCAACCATACTTCAATTTTAAAAAATGGAATATAAAATATAAAACACATTATTATATCACAATTTTTAAAGTCTTCTGTTTTGCCTGTAGAGTTTCTAAACTTTGGCACTAGTGATATTTTATGGTGGATAATTCTTTCTTTGGGGGGGACTGTTTTTGCAATGCAGATGTCTGAGGGCCTTGACTATGCTGGTGGCACCCTTCCTGATCACATGACCATCAAAGATGCTGTCACCTGGGGGCAAAGTTGACGGTGGCTGAGAGCCACTACTCTGGTTGAAGGAGAGAGGGCTTAAAAAATGGATGCAACAGAGGATGGCAGACAGAAGTGACTAGAGAAACACACAATTGAGTGAAGTTAGAGGACCAGTGAAATCAAACGTAGTCAT